GTCCTCCTCATCTATCAGGTCCTCCCCGTTTTCGTCTGTGGAGACCTCCCATACAAAAGTTGAGTCGGTAGCCCTCTCCGACACCGGCTTGATCACATAGAATTCTCCTTAAAATTCCGGATAGATTTGGAGAATGGTTTGAACAACTTCCTCCCTTGCTTAAAAGAAACTCAACCAAACTTTCTCCCCCGACACCTGCCGTTGAAGATGAAAGATGGTGAAGAAAAATGGGAGGGTGGCCCCAATTTGCAGATACTCACACACCAGTTCATACGCCCACATGAAGGCAATAGAGTTCGGGTGTAGGTTAGAGGGCGCCAGATCGAGGTGCACGAAGACGACCTGTTGAAAGTCTGTGAAGGGCAATCTCAACCTTATCTCTTTAAAAACAGACTCGTACATGGGAAATCGCTCCCCGTACGCCGAGAAAATACGTTCATCTTCTGAAGAAAAATGGACCCTCCACTCTCCCTCCGGTCCCACCGTGGTGAATGCGTCCCCGGTGTACGAAGCGAAAAGAGAGGCATGTTCCATTGGCTCGGTCATCGTATCCAAATTTTCACCTTGGAACACACATATTTTGTACTTGCTCGCTCTCTTGCTTGTCTTTTTTTTACTTTATCATCAGAGTGTCTTGCAGGTACAAACCCCCCCCCCCCCCCACCCATCTTCTTTCACACCCAGCATCATAGACCCATCTCAGGTTCTGATCATTTGGTAAGATCAGACAGTGTAAAATTTTTTACAATGTCAGTACAGTAATTAATCTCTAAAGTAAATACCATAAAACCGGGTGGGACAGGGGTGGATCCGGGCGAATAGTAGCATCCCCCGTCCCCGCACCCGCAATTACAAACCGGATTTTTCCCGCACCCGTACTCAATCAAATAGAATTTTCCTCATTAATTTTAGATTGGGTCCGGACGGACTCCGACAAACCCGAATTTTCTTTTCATGCCTAGTAAAGATCTTTCATTGAGCTTAATTGAATGGTCCAACCATCATTGTACATTCATGCATAAAACTTAATCAAACAATTTATTAATAATTAATATTTAATAATAATTAACCATAATATAATTAATTAATAATTAATTATTTCAATCCATATTTAATTAATTAAATAATTAATCTAATAATTTCACTGTAACAAAAACTTAAAAAACAAAGTGAGATTCATAAAATTTTCTATATTAGATCTTAAAATTATTACAGCATCTAAACCAGATACCACATTAATCACTAGAATGTTATGCTCGACACCATTTATCTTGGTACCATTTGAGAAATTGTAACATCATTGATTGAAGAAAATTTCAACCCGGAATTAGATGTATCTCCCTTGTCATCTTCGTGTTTTTTCATCGAAAAAGCTGGCATGTTGGGAGTACTAACATGTGTTCCTTCATTCTTGAGCAATGAATCAACTTCTAGCATGGAAGGTCTATCTGCTGAGTTCTCTTGAACACACAAAAGAGCTACCTGCATGCATCTCATGATTTTACAATGAGATGTTGAATCATCCAATGAAGGGTCCAAAAACTCCACACCTCTCCCTTCCATCCATAGCTCATATGCCTAAAATATGAAATACCAACTTGTTTTAATGTTTCAACATCAAGTTAGTAAAGATTCTGTGCAGTCGTAGATGAATGTGGTAAAATAATGACGGATAACATAAGTCGGAAACTTTGTTACATGTCAATTGAAGAAATACTTTTCTTAATCAGATACATATCTTACATATTCCAAAAGGTTCATGTTTTCATGCGGGCCGTAATATTGTGAAGTCCTCTTTCCACTTATGATTTGCAAGAGAAGAACTCCAAAACTATAAACATCGTATTTGGGTGAGTATATGCCTTTTCTGACATACTCGGGAGGTACATACCCGCTACAAAAGCCAATACGAAAGATTAGAGTTAACGAGGAAAAAAACAAATGTAACACATTATTAATTACGATTCACTTACTATGTTCCAACGATTCTGCTTGTATTTGCTTCATGTTCATACTTCCCGAAAATTCTAGCCATACCAAAATCTGATATCTTAGGATTCATTTCATGGTCTAACAAAACATTACTAGCTTTAAGATCTCGGTGGATTATAGTTAAATTTGAGTACTCTTGGAGATAAAGAAGACCTTGAGTAATTCCTTCAATGATATTCACACGCTTCCTCCAATCTAGAAGAATTGATTTCCTTGGATCTGCATTAAGTTCAACTATGAACTATTAGTCCTTAAAAATATACTACAGCTATAAACAAAGCAGTTAGAATTATTGCAATGGAGTATGAACTTGATGTAACATACCAAAGAGAAAATGATCTAAGCTTTTATTTGGGAGGTATTCATAGATGAGAAGCTTCTCATTCCTTTTTGTGCAGTAACCCAAAAGTCTTACTAAATTCACATGTTGTAATCTTGCTGTGAGTGTGATCTCATTTTTGAACTCTTCAAGTCCTTGATTCGAGTTTTCTGAGAGTCTTTTCACAGCTATTTCCTGTCCCTTTCGCAATTTTCCCTGACAAAATCAATCATAAGTATTCAGAGTCTTTCCTTGCAAACTTTGCTTATCTTCAAGTTACAAACAGATGTATTTTCAAGTGTTACCTTGTACACTGCACCGAATCCACCTTCTCCGAGCTTATTTTCTGTTGAGAAGTTATCTGTTGCTACTTTAATTGTGAGATAGCCAAATACTACCAAATCAGAAGCATTTCCATTAAGATCTTCTTCAGCTTTTGAAAAATATAGCCTCAGTCTGTATATCATTTTTGTAAGAATAGCCATTGTTCCTGCCAAAATACGAGATAAATCAAAAGGGAATTTATTTATTCTTCCATTTTATCACTTTATGATGAAATTTTGTTATATTATATCCTTACTTTGGTAGTAGTAGTAGTAGCAAAATACTATTCCCAAGAGAAGTGCAATAGTCAAAGTAGTAAGCAGAACAGTTATCAGCAACCTTCTCTTGTGATGATCTTCAGCCACTTCTTGAGCTGAAGAAAGTGATACAGGTGTTAATCTAGATAAACTCAAATAAGTCAATTCAAATATATTGAGTCGAAATTTCAAGTCAAGTATTCTCAAATGAAAAACAAGCAAGGAGTTCCAAATAATGTTTTGCTGGAAACTTGAGGTAGAGAAAATTTACCTGCCTTTGAAAGGACCCAGTTTTCATCATTCCCAACTTGGAAAACATTGTAACCAAGTAAACCATTTTTCTTTGCATAAGAAACTTTTTCTTTAATAGCTTCCACATCATCAAAATTAACCCAAATAGTGGAAGCAACGGTGAAATAATTCACCATAAAAGTATCATTATAGCCTAAAACTACTCCATCTCCAAAGCTTCTAATGTAACTTTTTATCAACTTATAAGCCATAGATCCATCCATGGTAATAGCTGGACCGGAAGCTGGTTTTCCAACACCACCTTCACCTTGTTTCACAAGTTTCCATGCATATCCATGATATGGTAAACCTATTACAAGTTTATTAGAAGAAAATCCTCTCTTTCGCCACTCTTTGATACCAGAATCAGTGTTTTCCCAACCAGATGAACCATATAAAGCTGCATGAAAACCTGTGACACTGTCCTTTTCAGGAAGATGGTAATCATATGCAACAAAATGAACCCAATCCAAATTCTTCTGCATTGATTCAAAGGGATAACTAAATGAATCTGAAGCTTTGAGATAATAACCCGCCATCACCAAAACTAACTCTATCTTTTTGGTGTTTCTTGCCTCAGAAGTTATCGCAATTCGCCACTCTTTCAAAAAGGTTGCGAAATTTGCAAGCTCGTTACCTTGCTTTGGTGAGACTCCACGAAGGTCTATGCCTTGAAATTCATATTTTCTTGCTGTTTTGATGGAAGAATCAATGAAAGATTTTCTGTAAGAAGATTGGTTTATCATTGAGTTGAAAACTGAAGAGTTTCCTCTTCCAGTGTAGACTGATAGAAGAGTTATAACAGATGGGTTTTGAAGCTTTACTGTGTTGGTGAAGGTGGAGAACTTGTGTTCTTCAGAAGAGTTTATAAAGATGTTATAGTTTGTGGAGTTTATAAAAGCAAAAGCACATAAGAGGTGTGTGAAAAGTGTTGATTTAATTTCTGATGCTGAGATTTCACTGCCGGAATAGTAGTAACCAGCTTTCACCCAAGAGGTGGTGTCTGCAGCAAAAGAGTGAGATGTCAGAGAGAGGAAGAGAAAGAAGAAAGCAAAATTGGTTGGAAACATTGTATTGTTTAAGGATGAGTTCCACTGTCTCAAGACTCTTCTTAACACTTTGTGATGTGTGTGACAAATGTTAAGTATACGAGTTGCCAAGTGCCAATAAACCCAACAATACCAAACACACTTTCTTTTTGGATTTATATATTCATAGCAGTAATAAATAAATAGTGTATTTTCAAAATGATGTGTTTTTGCTAAATATTTATGTTTAAGTTAAAAAGAGAAAAATCTTAATACTCTATCTATCTTAAAGATACACGTAAAATTAGATGCAGAGAATATGGTAGAACATATATTTTTCTGGTCAAATTGATTTTTAACTTGGGTTAGTTTTGGTTAGCTTCGTAGCGCGGTGGAGAGAGGACTGTCCTGTAAAGTTAGTACTCCTAATGAGTAATGTGTGTTGATTTGAATCGTAGATCAGGTGTGGGTTTGCAACATCTTTGATTGTGATTGTGCTATTAATGATGAAGAATCTATTTATATCCCAAAATAAGTTTAGTTGATGATTGATGGTAGAGGCACCAAGGCAGTGCATATGTGTGTTTGTTTGTGAAATTGGACAGAGAATAAGGACAGTATAGAACCACAGCCAGAATTTTTATTATTGATAGAAAAGGCCAAACTATACATCGATTGAAACATTAAATTATACATCAAATGAACAAAGGTTACACTTCTACAACTTTGCTTCACTCATCAAGCCATTTAATTACATTGCCCCTCATTGTGATCTCAACTCAACTCAACTCACTCTCTGGCTGCTACAACTGTTGCACCTTCAACCTGATATATTCAGTAACATAACAATTAAAAGATAAGTTCATTATTAATAGAGAGAGCAACATTAACCAGAAAGTAATTGGTTTTCATTTTGTTACTTTGAAGGTTGCACCCCAGATTTCTTCTTCTTTGGCTGGCACAGCAGTAATCTTATTTTTAGGATTCTCATAGCACATCAATCCTCCAACAGCGGTCGAGTAGAAACATCCTGTTCAATTACAGCGCAACTAGTGAGCTTGAATCAATCGAACTTAAACTCAAACATAATGTTTGTGTCAAACTCGAGTCAGGTTTCGAGCTAACTCGAGTTTAGTCATAAGCACATAATAGAAGATGTCAAGGTACCTTGAGGGAAAGAAGCGAGTGACTTGCCACAAGCACCTTTAAGCAATTCAGCATCATCAGCAAACACTACATATCCATCGGCAGTTATACCCCAAAACAGTGGCACCTTACCAAATTGATCCTGTCAAAAACAATACAATCATTAACAGCAAAATGAGGAAACCATGGTTGGGATTAATAGTTAGGATTAGAACTACTTACAGATGCAACAAAGAGGGTAGAAGTGGATTTGTCGAAGAGTATGAAAGCAAAGTCGCCACTGAGATGACCAACAACATGGTTAGGAGGATAAGGTGCTCTGTCGCGTAAAGCTTTGTAAGCTTCAATCACCAGAACTACTTCATTAGCAGATTTAGCAAGTCCATATTGTTGTCTTAAGCTCCCTAAGTTGTCAAGAGCTCCCTCAAATATGCAGAATATCTCATCCTTTACACCAAACATTCTGCCATTTTCCATTCAATATTTACAATTTAGATAATAACATAATAAAAAAATTATAAATAAATATTGTCATAGAAATTAAATTTTAGACCAACCATTTATAGCCATCTAATTCAATTTGGTGTTGATTATTTTTAAAGGATCCTCCTAAATAGTGTTCTAAATACACAAATTTAAAAGTAAAATTCAACCTATTGTTGTTTGTTGGTTCGATGGTAATTTACCCCGCACTTAGTTGGAAGAACTATGGTTCGATTTTTACAATTGCAATGGAGTTGGAATTACTTGACGTCAGATCTGATCTCAAACCGTGGTAAAAATTTTAAAAGAGTATTTTCGTTGAAAAAATAAAACTTATTTTTTTAAAAGGTCAATATACAATTTTCAAAACAGAACAGAAATATATTTAATTTTTTAATTGTTTTAAAATAACTTTTTACATTTTTAAAATATTAATAAAAGTTAATCAAAATTTAGAAATGAAGCTAGAAGTTTACCTACCCAACCACCCAAATCACCCTATCCGGCATCATAGATCGGAGTCTCTTATCTTGGTTTCATTTATGGGTTAAATTAAATTTGATTTTAAAATTGTTTTAATTTTTGTAAATTGTATTTTAATTTTTACAAAATTATTTTACAACTGATTTGATGTAATATTAAAATTTATCTTTTTAATATAAATTAATTTCAAATATTTTATATATTGCAAAGTTAATTTTAATATAAAACCAATTTTACAAGGTAAAAAAAAAACTTGTGAAGACACATAAAGTTTAAATCTGCAACATCCTACTTATTTAAAAAAAATTAAATAATATATATTTGAACGAAACTATAAAATAAATAATCCGAGGCTGAAACCATTAAATCTAAATCTAGCTTGTATTGGAATAATATCTTTTAACAAGTAAAATTGGCCACATAATAGGATCTGACTTTGGTAAGAAAATGAAAATTCCATAAAATATGAAATTAGCGTAAGGATTATCGCATCGGTAATGGAATGAAATATCGACCGTCCGATCAATCGGTGATGGATAAATATGAACTTATATTTATATAGATGTTTTTTTTTTAATTCAGTGATCAAAAAGCATTTAACCGGAAACGATTTCACGATATCTTTCACAACGACGTCGTTTAGATGAGTGTAATCGTGTTTGGTTAATTACCTCGGCTGCAACGAGGACTCGTTCTGGTGGGTATAAGCAAACCGGACTTGATCTCCGACTTCGACTGACACTGTTGACGCGTTGCTCTCAGTGAAACGCTTAAGCAGAGCCGCCGATGTTGTTTTCGGAGACGGTGTTCGACTGCCGGCTGCAACGAGTTCGTCCGGTGGGGACACGACGGAGCTGCTGAACACACCCAACATAACTAGTCAGATAGATTAGATAGATCTTTTTCTTTTCTTATGAAAAGAACAAAGAATGAAATTACTGAATACTATGAAATGAAGGGTGAGTTTTGTTTTGTTATATAGTGGGACGAAGATGGCAGTTGAGTCATCATTTCATCATCATAATTATTGAATTTGGAGAGAATCTAACTTTTTTTAATTATTTTTGTCCAAAAATACTTATAATTATTATTATTCTGTTTTTTCTAAAATGATATTCTTACATCAACTATCATTCAATTCCAAAGATAAATAAATTCATTTGTGTTTGCTTCGATTTTGGATAATAAGTTAAAAAATCGATCCAATCCAATTTAATTTTATATGCGGTTGAATTTGGATCAATTTTTTAAATATTTAAATTATAAATTATATTTTTTATTAATATTATAAAAATATTAATAAATAATAAATATATAAGATATACTTCTTCCGTTCTTTTATAAATGTTATTGTTTAGATTATTTTTTATTTTTTCTAAGTGTCATTTAATATTTTTTTAATTGTCATTCTTAAAGTTTAAGATAATAATATATATATTTTTGTCAAAATTACTCATAGAATTATTATATAAAAAGAAAAAATAAAATAAATATAATAAATACCTAAGGATATTATAAATAAAAAAAATAATTATTGTATAAAATATAATTTTTAATATATTTAAAATATCAAAAAGTGATACTAAGAAAGAACTAAGGGAGTACTAAATAAAAAATGAGAAAAGGGATGCTACACTGTCAACCAAGGTTAGTAAATTTTAAATTACTTATATAATTTGGCATTTTGATTTTGATTAGTTATATATATATAATGTTTTTTTACAAGGATAATACACTATCGTTAAACTCTTTAAAAGTTAATACTACAAAATGATAATGATTATTTATAGTTAAAACAAATAAAATAAATTAAAAAAATAAGTATAATTTAATAAATTAACACAATTTATCATATTAAAAAAATACATAAATATAATTAAAAATAAATATACATGCGGTTCGGTTTCGTTTGGATCGGATTTAAAAAATTAATCTAAAATCTAATCTAAACTGTGCAGTTTTAACAAAATAATATCAAAATATATTTAATAATTTTCAAATTTTGCAGTTTTTGATTTTTTTAAATCGAATTACGGTTTTTATTTAGATTGGTCTAAATGTGAACATTCTTAATAATGAACAATGAAATATTATAATAATAAAATATTATTTTATAAATATAATTTATTTATTTATTTAATATTAAAATACCATATTTATATGATTATAACTTCATTAATCAACATTTTATATTTTATTGTTCAATTTTGTTTTCCTACTAAAAGTTATATTGTGTGATTAATTAATTTTATAATTTCGTTAAACAATATTTTATATTTTACTAATCAATTTTATTTTAATATTAAAAATTATTTTTAATATCTAAACATTTATTAATTAATTTTTTAACTTTATTAATTAATTTTTTATTATTTTAATCAATTCTTTTATTAAAAATTATTTTTAATATTCATCATTTTATTAATTAATTTTTTATATTTTATTAATCAACTTTATGTTCATAGACACATTTCACAATTATTATACACGTTAATTGTTTATGTCATTATTCATAAATATATTTTTTTATTTAAAAAATAATATTATTTATTATATAAATATAGTACATGATGTATACCATGTAGATATTGATCAAATTGTGGTCTAAAAAAAGCATTGTTGTTTATTGCTGTTTTTAATGCTCTTTTTGACTTTAGATGTAAAACAATTTAAATCAATAAAAAACAATGTATTTAGTCAAAAATTGAACCGAATACTTAAGTTTTACGGATTCAGCATTCTTTTGTATCTGAAAAAGCTAATGCAAAGTATTTGAAAAAGTAATAATAACTCTATACAAATAATATCGATAATAATTTAGATGCAGAATAAAATAAATAAATAAAAATGCTTATGATTAAAAGATCTACACTTTGTTAATCTATAAAAGATGAAACTCCATGCATCTACATTGTATATGATTAAAAGAAGATGCAGAACATGGAGATTATATATTTTTGATAATATATACTTCTTCCATCATATTTGATACCTGTACATGAATTACAAAAAAAAGTCATAAATATATGAGAAAATAAGGAGTTTATCAAATTATCATAATTAATTATTGATGTAATAGTTATCATTAATGTAAGGTAAGAGAATTAGTAAATTTTGAATATTAATGAGAGAATATAAGTGAAAGATAAAAATTAAAATTGCATTTGAAACTAAATGCAACACTTATTTTGGGATAATTTTTTTTTTACAATTACGACAATTATTTTATAACAAAGGGAATATATTTTATTTCGTTCACGAATCAGAATTGATGCAGTTAGTGAACTGAATGTCCTGAATTAGTGATGTTGATCTTCGTCACGGCAGTGCGAGATATACCTGCATGGTTAACACCCTGTTTCCCAAGTTACTTCAAGATTTAAGAAGATTATAATGTAAAGTAAAGATTAGAGACTTTACATTGCTTTCCCTATGAACTGTTTTTATATCTTGGGTCAAGTGGAGCGGATTTGAGAAGAACTAGGTCTTGGCTATTTGGGCATTTGGTTGTTCCAGAACAATTGCTCCCAAGGCTTTATCGGGCACTGAGAGAGTTGGGGAAGCCTTTAGTAATTTTGGTCAGCCTCCAAGAAATTGTCGAATATGAACTGGAGGCAAAATACTTAGAGTCAGATGAAAAAGTAGTGGGGAGCAAGTGCATTTAATGCATTTCCATCATTTAAATGTTTCACTACTTGTTTCTAACACATGGGTCGATGCGACAAGTTAGGTCATGCACAGCTTATAGTTTACTCAAGTTTGTTTGTATTCCGAAGGGGAAATCTAGTCGTTGATCTCATAAATCCTCTCATTGACTAATATGGATCATTCAATTGTCTTTGCTTATAAATATAAGGAGTTGGGTGATGAAATACTTCGCCATCCCTGACATTTAAGCTCATTCACCTTTACTTTATTACCAAATACTTTCGTCCCTTCATTCTTAAGTGCTTAATTAGAACGATTGTCGTTTTTTATTAGAATATTTTTTTCTTCATCTCATAAACCTAGGTACCCTTCTCTAATAAAGTTTTTATCTTCAACATTTATTGCTTTCTAGTCAAGATGAGAAATAGTATTGTTAATTTGGCGAGTGATTCTGAGAGCGATACTTTTTCAGATTCGAGAATGATGGCATCCATTGATTCTCATCTCTCTCCCTTGCTCATGATTGCATGGGCTCGGAGGTTATATCCTTATCTAACGATTTTGAATCCGAAAGAGAATTTGGGAGTTCCCTAGAGGAAAAAGCTCATTCATTTGTCTCATTTGAAGCTTTTTTATCCAATGACGGTAGAAGGGAAGATCATAATGAAGTTTCTATGCCCCCGCCCATTTTGATCGAGGAAGCAATACAAGTCAACCGATGGATGAGAAAACGCGCTTAAAGATTCATCCAGCTTCAATTAAAAACCAATAATTATGAATCCAATGATGTTGATGTGAGGGCTCACTCAAACCTTCGAGGTAGGACAAATGTATTGTCTTCGATTAAACCCGACAAACATTCTAAGGTCGGCCACTTGGCCCAAAAAAGAGTGATGCTAGTAAAGTCGTTCATTGCAGTTAAGTATGGATGGGTGGAAGCTAAGGTGGTGGGTATCTCGTTTGTTATGAATACCGAAGCAGCAATAGAGGATGTCAGCATAAAGGTAGGAAACCCTCAAGATTTCTCGATTCTTTCAGTGGGCCTGTAGTAAAGGATATGTGGCTCTTTTGACAATTGTATGGTCCCGCTTTATGAATGTCTTTTTACTAGGATAGGATTGCGAATGACCTTCTCTGACTTCGAAGTGTCTGTTTTGAAGCTTCTAAAGGTTTCTCCTTCCCATGTTCACTTGTAGTATTGGGCTTACATGAGGGCATTCAAGTTGTATACTGAGCAAAAGTCTTGGAAGCCTTCACTTCAGCTATTTTTCAACTTATTTTACTTGGTTCATACTTCTCAGGAAGAATATCGTGACCAATGGCTCATTAGTTTTCACACAAATGATCCTTGGTTCGATCATTTCACTCGGGAATTAGGTAATTTCTTGATACGCTTCCTACTAGTGAGACCCCATATAGCAGAGGCTCATCTCACCTTCTTCGACTCCCCTACTGAATATATGTGCTTATGTAAGGGCGAGTTTCTAAAGTATTGGTCTTCAACTCATTTATATTGGAATGTTTATTTTTATTGTACTAAACTAGGTATTCTTTCCTCTAACAAGGTAGCAATGAAAGGATACCTGCATTTCTGGTATTAAGGGCTTGGTTATGAGAAAGGTTTGGATCTAGTGAGGCACCTTCTTCTGAGGTGAGGAAGAAACAGATTGACACACGTGCCATCTTGAGTGGGGTCAACCGGGAGGAGAGGAAATAGATTTTTAGTGAGGATGGAGTCCTGTAGTTTTTTTTTTGTCGTAAGATTATGTTTTGTACATAACATAGACAAGTTGTATACGTTCTTTCTGCAAAGCAGAGTGTATACCTTAGAGTATACAACAATACCTATTAAATATAGTCTTAATGCACATTAAGTGAAATTGTGCAAAGCAAAGTATATACCTTAGAGTATACAATCGTACATATTTGAACTGATGCTTGTGATCTAAGAATGCTTGTTGATAGTGTATATCAATAATCGTGGTCAAAGCAAGTGTTTGTTGAGGCTGGTATCAACATATCTTATAAGTGATGATCAACTAACTTCTTAGTAAGTTGAGAAGATAAATCTATAGTGGATATGTATATCTTATGTTTAACCAACTTTCGTATCCTAGGATGTGCGACACTATGTTATCCTTCTCTCAAAAGGGAAAGTTTCTATCAAGGTTACTTGGTAATCAAGGTCGTACACTATTTAAAGGCTGAATAATCGTAAAATTTTGA